GGGCTAACACGCACGCCAACCAGAACCAGCACTGAATAAGGTGCAGTTTTATATCTGTTTAGTTATGTTAGCTTTAATTGTGTGTAGCTCAATCTTTATGTCCTTTTATTTTGTTTGAGTAGCTGCCCTAGGATAGATGTGACGCAGAAGTCGTCTTATTTTTTAGGGATTATTAATTTCTTGTGTGGGCTTCCTCTTCCATACACAGTTCTCTCTCCTTGCCTGTGTTCTTGTTCTCGCATATTCATATTTTGTCCCCAGAAATCATTTGCCTGAAATAATACTTTATATGTTCTAAAACTCAGCATAAGGCGAGGTTTGACAGCACCAGCTGAATGTGAGATGAATATAGGTGAGAGGCAGGGAGCCGCCTTGCCCAGAGGAGTTCATCACATTTCTCACATCCATGAACCTCGATTCTTTGACTTTGGCTTGGCAGAAGTCCTTCCATTAAGAAAGAGGAGATCAGAGGTCCTTGTTTAGACTAGGAAAAAAGATGGAAATTACATTCAAGTTTGCTAACGTTAGCTAAATACGGCAGCCTAAATTCAGTCACTTTCCTAATCAGGAGAATGCTAATGAGTAGCCACCAAAATCAAATTATCAGCAATTGCTCTCCAATTTTTTTCATTTTTAAATACTGTATGAGTGGGTAAGCCTTATGAAAGCCACCCTTCTTAAGAGTTTACTGAATATCAGGTTTTATTAGTTACAATCACATTTGGTGATTCTGAGTTACTTATTGACAATATGGTATGTATATGTGTTTTAATGCAGACATGTATATTGACTAACAGGAATCAAAGTTTTGAAGTAGGTAGCCTATGAATCTCATGCTCTTAAGAGATGCAAGTGCGTTATCTCTTCATAGGCTAACATCTGCTGAAATAGATTCAAATCGTATTTCACTTGCGTTTGGCATTCTAAATGTCCTGAGGATTGTTCATAAAAAATCAAGCCCCTAACATCTCAAACTTTCTCAGAAAAATGCATTACCCAAATCTTATGTGACCCCAGGCTTATTTCTTAAATATCCTTATACCATGGTAATCTTTATGCCCCAAGGACATCTGATGGTCTCCTGATAATCTTTTTTTTGCAAAGTAAGCGTTTGACATTTCACTTGTTTTAACACAAGTTCTCCTTCCTGTCTTTATGCAATGTTTATGTGTCTGAAGGAACCATAAACACTGGAAATGCTGGGAAACTTAAACTGTGTTAAAAAAAAAAAGTTTGTCTACTTGTAAGAAAAAAGTTATTTTGTCCTTTTTATTTTGTTTTGTTTCTGCCTGCATGAATGTTAAATCCAGGTGAGATGATTTCACTTCCCTTGTTGTTTGCGTGGATGTTTTTCTATGCTTGTATGTAACCTTTGTTCTCATGTTCTTTTGATGTTGGTTCCGTATTTATACATATGTACCCAACCTAGGTGAAAGTTGTTCTGCTCAGTCATTAAATACAACTTTGCATTCCTTTTGGTTTCTCATAACCCCCAGGCCCTGAAGGAAATGTAATTTGGAAATTGAGGGAGGGTTTTTTTCTGTCTTTAGATAACTGAAGAGAAAGGTCCGGCTCTGCTGGGTTAATGCAACTTTTATCCATCCATATTCACATTTCCAGTATACCTAACTGGAAGACTCAAGAACTGATAAAGTTTGACCCCCATTGTATCTGTAAAAGACACACTTCTACTGTGCTTTCCCTCTTGGCTGGTTCATGAGTAAGGAGATGCTATGTTCTTCTCGGCTGACCGTTGGAGGCTGAGCACTTTATTACTAGAAGTAGTTCTGCAGCATAGAGTTTGTTCATATTTTACCTTAGTTTTCATCATTACTAAACGTTTTAGTGTGTGTTGCTATTCATTCCTCATCTCAGGTCATCAAAATTGTTCTCTCTAGGAGAATTCACACGGCTGATCTTATGCCTTTGTGCCATCTATAATGGTTAATTACCTTTTAGCTAGTGCGTAAATACACTGCTTGTGCTTCTTGGGCAGGTGCTCACTCTGTCTGTCTGTGCATGCTGTGTTCCTGGAGAATACGAGCTGAAACTTCAGGTATTTGCTTTTGAAGCAAGCAGTGATGCAGATTTTCATCCCAAGTTATTGGAAGCGTTGAAAACTGGTCGCTTTAAGCCTGCACCATGATGCTCCATCTTCAGTGTCAGAGAAGACCCCCAATTCCTGAATGTCATACCGGCTGCAAATGGTCTTGTCTTGTTCCTCAGCTCATTTGTGGTCCAGTTGCACTGAGAAATCCCAGGTCGTTAGGAGGAGGAGTGAAGGAGGTTGTGAGGAGGACTGAAGCGCTTCCAAGCAGACTTTTTGGCACTGAAACTAGTAGTGCTGGCTTTCCTGCATCAAGGGAAAACCAGAGTCAAACATTATTGATACTTACAGTCCTCTGTTCCAAGCAGCACAGCCTCAAGCCCTGCTTATTCATTTCATACTAGCTGAGACTGGGCTTGCTTCACTGTTGTCTGCTCCACAGGCTTTGAATCCTAAACTGAGATTTTATGTTCAGTTTATGCAGCATGCTGCAGGTTTTGGTGAAGTCATCTCTTTCACTTGTGCCTCTGTAAAGACAGCCTCCAGCACCAGCTATGCCAGGTTGTGATTCTGGATATCCTGGCTGTTTTCTTTGCAGCAATTCACACCTTCTCTCTTTCCTTCCTGTCTCAGAGAAAAGAGGAATGATTGAATGGTCTAGCTTTTGAACCTCCTGAGGTTTGTGGTTCAGGTGCTGCTGCCATTTCTGTCTATGTCTGTACAGTAGCAACTATCTCCTGCTTCAGCTGCAGTGGTTGGCAGCGAGTTTCCAGCATGCGGGGGAGACCTTAGTGACAGGTTCCTCAGGAGAGAGATGATTGTCATATCACTTCCTTCTTTGCCATATTTCTTCTAGTCAAGGGGAAGCTGAGGCTTCTCACTCATCCTTTAGATTCTTTGGACCATTCTGTTGCTGAGGTGTTTTTTAGGGAAGACATTGCCCATTGTGCTTTATTGACAGCCAGAGAGCTTTTCAGGATTCCTTAGAAAGTATCATTAGATTCCTTCAATTCCCTAGAAAAGAAGCTGACATTGATGACAACATTCAGGACATTCTCTGTCCTAAAGACACACTCAATGACCGTGACGCTTTCTGTGGGTGAAGCAGTTCTGTATGTGGTCCGAATTTTGTGGTTTTCTTACGCCCTACATGGTCAACGGGAGGAGCAGAGTTATCTTTGAAGGCACTATTTTTGTGATTACCATTTGTTTTCCTCCTCATTTGTGGTGATGATTGTGGAAGGAAAAATCCCAAGTAAGCTGCTCTTGGAGACAATAATGGTTTGGGAAAAGGAGCTGCCTACTCAGAGTCACCGAGCTTTGCCTAAAATGCGCGAAGCTTTGTTAGCTCTCTAAGAGCACAAATTCACTGGTCAGTTGTACACCTTCATTAATGTTCTGCCTATGTACTTAAGGGAGGGTTTACTCCTTTCTCTACTAGAGATTTGTTTGACAGCCAGAACCTATTTGAAGGCATCCTTGGACACTATGGGTGACCCCTAATAGCCTCTCTTATTTTACATACTTTTTAATGTTTTGAGTGCTGAATTGCAAAAGGACATACAGGCTTTGGCTGAAGACTGGTTGTCATTTTTTAGGTCCCTTGGCACTTGTCATTGGCAACCAAGACCAAGTGACTCTAATTCTCCTGCCCTTCAACATTCTTGAAAAAAAAAAAACCTGTGGGACTCAATCTCCATCAGTCAAGGACACCATTTCAGTGTGGAGGAGATTCAAATCCTCTGGTTGATCACCTGTATTCCTTCCATAGAGGGTGTTTGTGTGAGCTCATTCTAACTTGTGTCCCAAAGTAACGTCTGCCAGGGAGTTGACTGTTTTCATCCCCAAACTGAATACTGGAGGCTGAGGTTCTTATTTCATCCTCAGCATTGCTAAGGACTTTTCTTTTTACGCTGGCAAACTCCTTTCAGAGTTTGGTTGTCTTGGTGCTGAAAGACACAAGGTCTCACCCATTTCTGTGCAGATGGACAAACTGTTTTCAAGTTATACCAAGTCTGTTTTGGAGACCACAAACGTGACATTTCCATTTGTCACTGGACTATAATCCGTCAGAGCTCAAGTCGTACCAGTTGTTGGGAATGCCTAACGTTTGTCAAGCAGCCATCTGGAGGCTCTCCATACCTTCCATACCTTCTCCATACCCAAAACCATGCTGTTGTAGACGCACCACCAGGGAGGTAGCATTTGGGAAAGCGGATCAAAATTGCTGTGTGAAGGATTCAGAGGCCTGTCTCTGAGGAGATATAAGTCTATGACAGTTATTGGTTAGTCGTGCACAGTATGGAATATACATGAACAGTCTTTTGAAACAAACAAAAAAGGAGGTTACTTAACCTCCTTCGAGATACGCCGTCCAAACATACATTTCCCCTGCCCTGCATCCTTCCAGGTATTCACCTTTGTTGGGATCTTGCAACAGAATGAACAAGAACAACCTCATGGTTTGCTACCTTCTCGGTGCCTCAGGTGTGATGAAAGAAGCAGAGGACTGATTAAGAACAAAAACTTGTTACCCAGCTTTCAATGTTAATATGTTGTGAACGTAAACCTTGAGTGCGCTTCTGGATAGCTTTGGTTGCTCCTAAAATGACCTTTCTGTTACCTTAAGACTGAAAAAGAATCTAAATATAACCAGCATGCTGCTTTAGAGCTCACTTAACATCTGTGGACATCCCACTGTATTTTTCCTTTTAGTGATTAATTCCTGCGTTTTTGTTTCTCTGTTACTCTTTGAATGATTGCTTGTCCATATATCAGTCCTTAGGCTAGCTAGGAAGTCATTTTATATGGCCTAGAAAGCACACCAGCAAAGCTGTTACTCTTCCCCTTTTTGGTACGAGTTTTAAATGCTGCTTTATCTGAATCTCTGTATCTTTTCATTGTGAGGATCTGAATATTTCTCTTTTCTCTCCTGCTCTTCTCCTTTTTGCAGTGCACGCTGTTGAGAGTAAGTGTTGCTGTATCCTTTTTTTTTTTTTTTCTTTTTTCCCCCAAAACTGTTTACTACAGAGCTAATGTAATTTCTGTTATTGGCTGTGCCCATAAATCTCCTTCGGGAGGAGCTGTTGATCTAGGCTGGGATTTGAGAAGATTTCCTGAAAGCTAAAAGGAGAGCCATCCCAGGTCATTCTTCTGTGGTAAAGCAGGTCACCAGGTGGAAGAGGTTGAGAATCTTTGTCTGAAATGATTTTGATATATCAGTGTTGGAGATAGTGTGTTGGCAGATTATTAGTTGCTCTGTGCAGATAACGTAATTGAGGGGGACATGGTGACACGCTGGAGAGACTTCTGCCTTTTGAAGTCAGATGGGATAATTATCTCAGTTAATCTCATTTGTACAACAGGCTAGAGAATTTCTCCTGGGAATTCATGCACCAAGCCTGCTAATCTCAGAACACTCAGTAGGAGGTTTTCCGAGGGTTTGTAAGCCTTTGGGGTTTTTTAAGGGTAATCATGGTGATTACAGGTTGAGATGTGATGTTTCGACTCAGTAACAGCTGGTGGAGGGCTCAGGCTCTCGGCTTTGCTCGCTCCCTCCCCTAGCTGCAACATTTTCTGTGTTGCTCCCTGCCTCAATCCCCTCTTCACGATGCCGCTCATCATCTTCCTGCCGCTGTGCTCCTGTAAGATATCTTCCTCCAGAAAATTCATCCCCAGTTTGAAAATTGCTGTCCTAGCTCACCTTGGAGCAATGTGTTTGGATAGCTGTGTCTTGGGTTTCTTGAAGTCTTAATGTGTTTATTGACAGAGTCCTGAGTGGCCATAATGCTGTTAACCCTGTTTTACAGGTAAAGGACTGAATTTCAGAGTCTAAGGAGGCTTTGTGGTTGTTCAGGTCAGAAATGCAAGATGGGGGAGAATTCTTCAGACAGACAGCAGTTCTTAAAACTGTGTTACTGAAACAGTGAAGAAAATGAGGTTATATAGAAACAGACAGACTTCTTGGCAAACTTAAGATGTTTTACAGGTCTCTCTTTTACCTAGCTAGGCACTTAGCTGCAGTTACGGAAAGGAAGGAATGTGTTTATGTTTCTTCAGAAATAACAGTCTCTGGTCCTAGCTGACAGTCTCTTAAGGCCTTCTGTTCTGTTTCCTTGTTCTGTTTCTTCTCTAAGCAGGCCAAATAGCCTGTTGCTTTATGTTAAGCAAACTATGGCTAGCTAAACATTTATCTGCAACCTGGAGTATCTACATGTGTGCTTAGCATAATCCTCAGTGATCAGAGGTAAATAAACCTGTGGCCTGGTGGAAGACTGTTTTAGAAACGTATAAATCATGCTTTTTCACCGAGTTGTAAAGCGTTTATTGGAGAGGAGTTTTATAAAAACTAGTTAAGTGGCGTTTTATCTGTGGAAGGCATA